CTCAAACTGGAACCTCAGACCACCCTCCAACTCAAGCAGTGAGTTTCAAGTAAGAGCAGAGCATTATTCATCTGCATTTTTCCCCACCAACTTTAAACCCACCTAATCTCTCTCTCCTTTGTGCAGTCGCACCTGGATTCCTGGCCGCAGAACCCCCAAGCTGAGATAACCCGGTTTCTGTCTCTTTGTTTTAAGATAAAGAAAATAAGCTTTCAAAGTTTGACAATCTCTCTGTGAGTGTTTCTGCATGTGGGAAAAAAGTTTTAGACCCATCATGACAGTAGAGTCTTTAATTCCGTAAAAATTCAAAAAATATCCACTGAACTTGGTTTCCAAGATTTGAAGACGTTTCGCCACCTCTCCAGGAAGCTTTCTCAATTCAAATGTCTGGATCCGCAGTGAGTTTGAGTCTTTATATAGACAAAGCCTTGTATCGCTTGGAAACATGCAAATGGTAACAAGAGTCTTTAACTTTGTAGAGTCCCTGGAGTCTTACTTTGAAAGTCTAGCAGGGTTGAGTGTAAAGGAAAGAGTGAGACACATCAGTTATATATAATCCATTTCTAACAGTTAAATCCTTTTCCCCATTCATTAGACTAATACATGTCTTGTTAAAGTGGCAATAGGTTGGTTTTATTTGAAATCCAACTGTGTTGTGTTAACTTCCATGATGTAACGTGTTACAGGTGTAAGAAAATGGTAGATCTTCCATTTACTATAGTCTAGGATAAGCAGCATATATAACAACTTAAACGGACTTCAGAGGGCCTGGCTCTGTGTCCTTAACGACTGCTTGCAACCATAACACTAACGGATCCCGGACAGCAGACAATGATTGTTTCTCAATACTCAATACAATGGCCATTTATGACGGGAAGAAAACATTTGGAAGTTTTGGCCCATTTTAGCGAAACTGCCGAAAAAATCATATTTCACTAAAACAATTGTAGACAGATATGCTTCACATGATTCAGTTCATATTCACTTCAGTAATAATCAAGATGTTGATCTAAAAGTCAGAGTTTCCACCTATATTTTTAAAAAGTACTCTGTGGTGTTTTGCAGGGCTTATTTTGGGAAAATGTTTAACGAGGCTCAACAATGTGGATTTTGTTTTCGATTATTTAATCACAAAACAGACATGGTGACAGTTGTTCCCTCTGAAAAATATTTGAATGCATTGGAGCTTCACTTATCTCCAGGTACTCCAGCTTTCTCCCACAGTCCAAAAACATAACTGTTAGGTTAACTGGCTTCTCTAACTTCTCCTTAGGTGTGTGTGTGCATGAATGGTTGTTTGTCCTGTTTGTCTCTATGTTGCCCCGAGATGGACTGGTGACCTGTCCACGGTGAACCGGCCTCTCGCCCGTAGACAGCTGGAGATAAGGTGCAGCAGCCCTATCGATCCAAGCTCGGATAAAGGATGTCAGAAAACGGATTGGATGGATGGACGGAGCCGTGCTTAATTTCAATAAACAAATATAGATGGAGATAGCGCATGTTCAGGTGTTTATCATCCACTATGACACTCATGATCTGAATTAGAACAGAAATAGTGCGGTGTTGCTTGAAATATCTTACAGCACAGCTATTAAGACAAAAGAGAGTCGTCCCTGGGTGGGCTCGAACCACCAACCTTTCGGTTAACAGCCGAACGCGCTAACCGATTGCGCCACAGAGACTGTGTGGGCTGCCCCAGTTGTACAAAAACCGGACAGTCCATATCGGATGTATGTCCATGTTCTGTATTTTAATATTCTGGCTAATTTATATCGGTTATCGG